TCGTTGGCATAGAAACATGGAGTAAATGTGTGGGAAGAACAGAACCAATACTCAGAAAAATTGCTTGCTGAACTGTTACTATCAGGAAAGCCTAGACTGTTTCAAACAAATCTTTATCACAGCGTTCTCTAAAAACAAATGTGTGGTCTATCTAGTCTGTATTTTTATTTAGGGAGGATTCAAAAAGCAGGCAGAAAGTGAGAATGCATAAAAATATCAATGTCTCCTTTAAAGCAGTCCTTGCAAAAAGCCTTGCTCCATTTCTGGCAGTGTTTACCCTCGTGATACCCTACCTGCATTATTATGGTCTGGAGAAACCCACAGAAAGCAAAAGAAAAGAAAACAAAGTATTCCTTCCTCCTTTTCCAAGATGCGGCAATGCAAAACTGAACCCAAAAGTCTCCATAACTCAATGAAAGTAACTCATAAAACAACTGCAATGATGGTACATCTTCTTTACTAATACAAGTAATCAATCAATCAGTCCAAGAGACATTCAAGTCCACCTGCTTCCTGTACACCTTCCAAAAGAAAAGATCCACAGAGTGCATTTTAAACTAAAGTATCTAGCTGACACCACCTCAAACCCATCTTTTAGGTTAAAGACATGATTAATTTCTGTTAATTTCACAAATCAGATACAGTCTCCCAAATAAAGCCATATCAAATTCACAACATATATAAAACCTGTTCACTGTAGGAATCAGTCAGTAAACTACGATATGAGACTCAGATTTAATAAACCAGAGTTAGAATAGCAACTCTATTCACAAGATCCATGAAGAATACAGGCAGAAATGTTACTTAATATTACTTATTTACAATTTGTTATTTACTTTTTTCCTCCTTTGAAATGGCAAGCTCTATGTGAGCAGGAACCTGAATCATGTATACATCAGTCTATATCCAGCCTAGAACAATATCTGGTACACAGCTGATTGTCCAGTGACTACTTACTGAAACAATGAATGAACTTAGCATAACCATACGAACCTTCTAAAAATGAAGTAGATAGGGACTTCCCTGTCAGTCCAATGGTTAAGACTCCATGCTTCCACTGCAGGGGGCCTGAGTTTGATCCCCAGTTGGGATCACAACAAACTGGAAAATTCTTACAGAGATGGGAATACCAGACCACCTGACCTGCCTCTTGAGAAACCTGTATGCAGGTCAGGAAGCAAGAGTTAGAACTGGACATGGAACAACAGACTGGTGCCAAATCGGAAAAGGAGTACATCAAGGCTGTATATTGTCACCCTGCTTATTTAACTTATATGCAGAGTACATCATTTCTATGATGGGCTTGATGGAGCACAAGCTGGAATCATAATTGCCAGGAGAAATATCAATAACCTCAGATACGTAGATGACACCACCGTTATGGCAGAAAGTGAAGAAGAACTAAAGAGTTTCTTGATGAAAGTGAAAGAGGAGAATGAAAAAATTGGCTTAAAGCTCAACATTCAGAAAACTAAGATCATGGCACCTGGTCCCATCACTTCATGGCAAATAGATGGGGAAACAACTGAAACAGTGACAGACTATTTTTCTGGGTTCCAAAATCACTGCAGATGGTGACTGCAGCTATAAAATTAAGACACTTGCTCCTTGGAAGAAAAGTTATGACCAACCTAGAGAGCATATTAAAAAGCAGAGACATTACTTTGCCAACAAAGGTCCATCTAGTCAAAGCTATAGGTTTTCCAGTAGTCATATACGGATGTGAGAGTTGGATTATAAAGAAAGCTGAGTGCTGAAGAATTGATGCTTTTGAACTGTGGTGTTGGAGGAGACTCTTGAGAGTCCCTTGGACTGCAAGGAGATCCAACAAGTCCATCCTGAAGGAGATCAGTCCTGAATATTCACTGGAAGGACTGATGTAGAAGCTGAAACGCCAATACTTTGGCCACTTGATGCAAAGAGCTGACTCATTTGAAAAGACCCTGATGCTGGGAAAGACTGAAGGCTGGAGCAGAAGGGGATGACAGAGGATGAGCTGGTTGGGTGGCATCACTGACTCAGTGGACATGAGTTTGAGTAAACTCCAGAAGTTGGTGATGGCGTACTGCAGTCCATGGGGTCACAAAGAGTCAGACATGACTGAGCGACTGAACTGAACTGGGGAACTAAGATCCCACTAAAGCAGATAAACTTAGTTCTCTTGGGGAAGGGACAGGATGGAAAACACCACCCAGCATCTATCCCCAGTGCTTCAGAGGCTCAGGCTTGGGACCACACAATCAAAATTTGCCCCATAAACACAATCTGGCTAAGGTCAAGAATAGCTCTCTGGTGAACAGTGAAAATCATCCTAGAGTAGGTGGAAACTGAATGTACTACAGTCTGCTGACAGAAAAAACAATGGAGGAATTCTTGAAGGCTGCAGATTAGGAAAATTTAAGAGCAATCTGGATCATAAAGAATATGGCTTGGTTTAACTAGATAGCCGCAATCATCCAGTTATTTGCCCACTTCATTTCAGTGTTATTTACTGGAAAGAATATACTGTATTAGATTACAGAAGCTGAGCTTGTGAGGAGAGCTAATGTATAGTGTCACATAAACAATTTGCATTATTAGCCCAATGCACGATCATGCTGGCAGGAAAAATCCTTTTTTCTCCCTAGAAGCAAACATAACACTGAGAGTTGAGATATCCTTAAATAAGTGGAATTATTTTTTGCTATACAATTAACTGGGTTTCCCTGGTGGCTCAGACGGTAAAGAATCTGCCTGCAATGCGGGAGGCCTGGGTTTGATCCCTGGGTCGGGAGGGTCTCCTGGAGGAGGTCATGGCAACCCACTCCAGTATTCTTGCCTGGAGAATCCTCATGGACAGAGAAGCCTGGCGGGCTACAGTCTGTGGGGATGCAAAGAGTTGGACATGACTGAGTGACTAAGCACATACAGTTGATTATCAATCTTACCAGGAATAGTTAAATATCTTCCTGCGCTTTCCCTAATCTGGCCTCCTCACTTTCTAGTTTCCTGGTAATTTTAAAAACATCCACTACCCTGAGTATTTCTCATTGCAGAAATGATGTGATTTATCAGAAACACTAGCAGAAAGGCATTCATTCAGGTAAAATAAATTAACCTCTAACTGGTGCACTAGTTTTATTTTTTTTTTTTACCTTAATTTTGTAGTCTACCTTGGGTGAAAATAGGTACTCCTTGGCAGGTTAAAGTATGTGAGAGGATGGTTTAATGGTAAATGTTTATTTATTTATTGGCTGTGCCACGTGGCTTGTAGGATCTTTGTTCCCCAACCAGGGATCTAACCCAGGCCATGGCAGTGAAAGTCCTGAGTCCTAACCACTGGACTGCCAGGGAATTTCCTAACAGCATGTCTATTCTCCACCTTTCCATTAGATGAGATTGTCTTAAATTAAAAGAACAATCTTTAGCATCTTAAGAATATAAGTAAATCCTAAAATTCATAAAGAGCACGTATGTTCAGGGGGTAGGTAGACCATTACTAGTTTTATACTTTTGTCAAGTCACTTGACCTCACCGAACCTCATTACTAGTTTTATACTTTTGTCAAGTCACTTGACCTCACCGAACCTCAGTGTTTTCCTCTGTAAAGCGGAGTATAAATTTGCTCAGGTTCCAAGATAATCGCCAGACTCATTTCAGTCCTAGTTGGACTAGACAGTAAATTGAGATGACTGTTTAACTAGCAGTTGAGTAGTACAAAGGATTTGGTTTCTCTCCCTACATTAAATATGATAATACAGGTCAAAGTGCTCAATACACGTTATTTAATAGTTGGTATTACTCTTACCTTTGTTATTGTCCTGGTAAACATCATGCCGTGCAGAGAAGACAAAGTGGGGAAGCAAAGGAGTTTTTCCTTTTAGATCATGGCCTATTGAAGCCAGTGTTCATAAATTTACTTTGTCTTAACTTTTTTTTTAATACTTTTTCCATTTCTCCCTTGACCTCTGAACCCAGTTTTTCTAAAGGCTGCTGGTTTCTTTTCTCATGTGTCTGCCAAACTCCCCCAAGCATCGCAAACCAACCCAAAGCAGCTAATCAGAGTTTCCCAAGATTCCTGACCTCACCAACTGGGCATTGGTGTCCATACGTACATTCAAGGATCCTCAAATCCCTGCTCTGAAAGGCCCTGAAGATGGCACACCCACATGATTGCTGGGTGTTGGGTGATGTGTCTGTTGAGAAGTGATACAGTTAGTGGTGTGGGAATCCTGGCGTTAGAAGGAGTAAATGACCCCTGCTCTGGTGACACTAGTTCCAGGAAGTGGGCTGCAGTATCAGACCAGAAACTTGATTTCTCCAGGCCCTTTTTCAGACTCCATCTGCTCCATGTTTGGCTTCAGAAAGAAAGAAAAACACGGGCAACAGCTGCTGTTCCTTGAGGGGATAGCAGCACTTTGAGTTTAAACAATCTCTTGTTTAAACAGTAGGAAATTACACAACTGAGCTAGACTTCCCAAGAGTCATGGCTAGGTGTAGAGAAAACGATCAAAGTGTGCAAAGAAATGTCAGGTAAGGATGAGGATGAACGACCCATTTCAAGTCTTAAGTGGCCTCAAACAGTTGTGTTCCTTGGGGCCTTAGAATTGCCTCATAGGTGCCTCAGGAGCTGCCTGGGCTCTGTGTGTGTGTGTGTGTGTGTGTGTGTGTGTGTGTGTTTATTTCAGGTGCCTCCCTCAGCCCCAGAGGGATGGGAAGAAAGGAAGCTGAGAGCCTTTCACCCCTATTCCAGCTGGACTAGAGGTGGGGTGTGGCCTTCTAGGGCCACAGTGGGTGAGGTGGAAGAGGACCAAGCTGAAGAATGCCCACTTTCAGAGACTGCAGGAGTCCACAAGGACTTTTTTAAAAAGAAGGAAAGCAAGGCAGAAAACTACTTTAAAGCTGAGAACCTGCTTTCATGATTGCTTTGACCAAAAAAAACCTGAAAACAAAACCCAATGTTTTCCCAAATAAAATGCTTCCCCACTGAGTAAAACACTTGAGTAAAACATCAGGCTTACCTTGACATAATGAACAAGACGCTCATTTACATTCACTTTGTAAGTTTCTAAACCCAGTTCCTTAGATAACCGTAAGATCCTATTCTGGGTTGGGCCTACATAAGCACCGCCAACATCTACGTAGTCAACATGTTCATTCTGTAGAAAGAGAAAAAGTGGCCAGAAGACTTTGGTTAGAACTTAAAAAAAAAACATATATATATATACATATATATATACATATGTGTATGTATACAAATATATATATATATATATTGCTAAGTCTCATAAAAACAAGAAGAACCTGTTTATATTTTACAGTTTAAATGTGCCTTACATCTCTCTTACAAAGGGCCACTGAAAATAGCAATCCTTTCACCTCAAGAACTGATCCCCAATCCCATATGACGTCTCTAAGCAATCCCATTTGTTTAGTTATTGGTGAGGACAATTTGCCAAGAACATGCACAACGAATAAAGAACACTATAGTACATCCTGCCCACCTAGGTCTTTTTCAAAGCATTTACGTCATCTGTGCTTTTCTTTGGGGTTGTTGCTGGGAGGGCCACCGAGAGATTTATGAGGCCTAACTTTCTGATTTCCAGCAGATGAACTCTTCAGTCAGCCCAAACTGGTGGCCTCCTGATCCTATTTTATTTATTTATTTTTTGGTTAATGCAACATGAAATTTGCCTTCCCCAGTTGTTTTTGTTTTTAATATTTATTTGGCTGAGCTCTCTTGTTGTGGCCCATGGACTTAGTTGCCTTGCACCATGTGGGATCTTAGTTCCCAGACCAGGGATGGAACCTGAGTCTCCTGCATTGGAAGGCAGATTCTTAACCACTGGATCACCAGGAAAGTCCCCTGCCTGATTATTTTTTATTGTGTGCCATTCACTGAACATGAGAAATGCAGAAATAATCTGAATCCTGGAAGGATTATATCCTTCTAAGAGAGGATTTATGTCTGCTTCCACCCAGCACTTGGGGATGCTAACATTACCAGATAATTCTATTGCATTTTCTGTGCCTGAGATGATTTGAAAGCAGGTTGAAATGCAACGTGGCCTAATCATTTTACTGTTCTCCTTTAGTGCTAGGATGCAGTCCAACCCAAAGCACAAGAGTTTACAAACACCTCCTTCCATAAACACACACTTTGGTGGGCCCTGGACTTGACCTTCAGTTGCCCTAGCTTTGCTAAGATTTTGAAAGTACTACTGCCATCCTAAACGAGATCAGGCCTGGGTGTTCACTGGAAGGACTGATGTTGAAGCTGAAACTCCAATACTTTGGCCACCTGATGCGAAGAGCTGACTCATTTGAAAAGACCCTGATGCTGGAAAAGATTGAGAGCAGGAGGAGAAGGGGACGACAGAGGATAAGATGGTTGGATGGCATCACCAACTCAAGGGACATGGGTTTGGGTTGAATCCGGGAGTTGGTGATGGACAGGGAGGCCTGGCGTGCTGCGGTTCATGGGGTCGCAAAGAGTTGGACATGACTGAGCGACTGAAGTGAACTGAGCTCAGTCTCTCACTTGCTTTTCTAGTAGTCAGCAAGCTCCCACCTCCCCACCCCCAGGGGAAAAGCAGGTCAATGTTTTCTGGATGTTGGTCTAGTGAGTCTTCACTACCTTGTTAGCTCTCTGGTGCTTTGAAGGTGTGTGTGTGTGTGTGTGTGTGTGTGTGTGTGTGTGTGTGTGTGGTGTCTATGTACAATTTGTCTAGTATCATTGTATGTAGTGGGAGGGTTGGGACAATTTACCTTATCTGCTATTTCCATAAAATTGAATGCCTAGAACCTTGCCTCCCTGGGGTAATATAATCTGATATTATCTTCCCATGGCTGGATATGCTTTGCTAACCTTTTGTTTAGAATTTTTATATCTGTGTTTGTAAGTGATACTGAGATTGCCCCAGGAGTCTCCTCTATTCTCCAGCCCTTGTCTGTTTTCCAGCATTACAGTATTGTTAATCTCATGAGTTAGTGATCATACTTTCTTCTGTTCTTTATTATTTTTTTAGAAGGGTTCATATATAAACAGAATAATCTCTTCTTTGAACAGCAGGTAGGACATACCTGTAGAGCTATCTAGGTTTAGTGTTTGCGGGAAAAACTTAAACTACACATTTAGTTTATTTTGAGGTTAAAGCACTACTCATATTTTCTATTTCTTAATCTGTTAATTTTTAGAAATTATATTTTCTCATAATATATACATTTCATATGTGTCAAAACTATTGCTGTAAAATTCAGGACCTCCTCTTCTCATTTACTGTTTATTCCATCAGTGGTTATTATATGTTCATTTTCATCCCTTTTATTTGTTTAGAGATTTCTCCTTTTCCTTTTTCTTAAAAAATTCAGCAGACATGTCCGTTTTAATAAGACTAAAAAATCAACCTTTCTATTACTGATCATTTTATTGAGTATTTATTTTATATATCATTGACTTATGCTCCTTTTTCCTTTATTTGGATTTTTTACACTCAATTTTCTATTTCTTGAATGCTTAGCTTATTCATATTGAGCCTCCTATCCTTTTCTGATAGAAAAATTTAGGCTACGAATCTTCCTCTCATATGGTTTTAACTATACAACTTTATTTTAGTATTTCCATTACTGTACAGTTTTAAGTGTTTGCAAATTTCCATTACAATTTCTGTCTAAATCAATGTTTCTAAAAGTTTTGCTGTGTTTTAATTTCTATAGCTGGAATTTTTAGTTATCTTTCTGTCATAACTGCATTGTGGTAAAAAAAATGGATTATATGGTATCAATCCTTGAGGTTTACTTTATGACCTAGTACATGGTTGATCTTCAAAGATTTTTCATTTCAGAATGAAAAGAACATATAGTCTTCTGTTAAGTAATATGTATGTTTTATATATGTCCATTAGAAAAAGATTAATTGTGCTCAGCCTTTGTTTGCTTCATTTATTATTAATTTAGAAAAGTATGTTAAAAATCCCCTAGTCTATTTGGCACTTATGTTTGATTACTATCAATTTTTGCTTTATATTTTGAGGCTACGTTATTCAGGATATACAAGTTTAGAACTGTTTAGTCTTCCAGGTCTCTTATCACTATTGTACTGATACTTAATTCAATGAAACATTTTTTTTTGTTTAAACCTTATTTTGCCTGGTATTAATCTAGTTAAAACAGTCTAGATTAGTATTTGTATATTATCTCTTTTTCTATCTTTCAGTTAAAGTGTTCTTTATTCTGACATTTTCCCCCCTTTAACTGAGTTTAACCTATTTATATTTTATTTCTTTTAAAATGTCTTAATTTCACTTATTATGGCTTTCCATTTGTCCCATTGTTAATAGTTTCCTGCCTGATTTCTTTCCTTCTTTGGGATTAAGGGTTTTCTTTTGTTTCTTTTGAAGTTTTTTCTTCTACTTATACACTCAGGCCTACTCTTTTAGACATTTCTTTTAGTGCCTAGCTTCCTTGTATGTTCTGTCACTTTTCTTTGGCTCTGTTACTTTTGACTGTAAGTCGTTCGTTTTCTTTAGAACCTTTTCTGTGTAATTTATTTGTCCTGGGTGGACAGGAATTGAGTCTATTTCTGCCAGCATCCTTGGTACTTTATATATTCTAAGGTTTTTTTCATGCCACATAGGTAGTGTGAATTTAGATGGAAGCCACGGATGAAAACAAAGTTTATCTCTTTTTGAATGGTAAGATTTATTTCACTTTCATGTACAGAGTATAGCACAGGGGATTCCAATTTGGAGTGTTTCCTATTAAACTTCCTACCTTTGACAGGGTGAGGATTTTATCTCCTGTTCTCTGCATGCCATACATCCATCCCAGTGGAACTGCAAAGTCTTCATGGTTCAGTAGGCATTCAAGGTGAAAGTCAAATTTTGAGCTCACTGAATTCCTAAGCTTCATGTTTTCACTTTGCTTTGGGGACTCATTAGTTCATTCAATAACTATATCTTGAGTTCATACAAGGTACCAGGTATAGATCAAGAAGCTTCTGTTATATCAGTGAACAAAATAAAGATCTCTGCTCTCAAGCAGCTTTAGTAGGAAGAGACAGAAAATGAACAAGAACCATAATAAATAAATATCTTAGAAGTAGATAACATTTAAAGAATAAAAAACTAGAGAGTGACAAGACATTGAAACTGCAGAGGAGAGAAGGAAAGATTTCAGATTCAGATACAAGCGACACGTAGGCCTCCAAAAAAAGGTGATCTTTTCATAAAGACTTGAAGGAGGTAAGGGAGTTATCCATGTGGCTATTTGGGACAGGAACATTCCTGGCAGAAGAAAGAGTCAGTGTAAAGATTCTAAGGCAGAAATGTGCCTGGTGTGTTCACAAAACACAGACTAGTGTGTCTAGAACAGAGTGAGCAAGGAAAAGAGAACTGGAGATGAGATTAGAGAAGTCAAGGGTGGGGAGGGCAGGTCATGGAACACCTCACAACGCATTGAGACAATATCAGCTTTTCCTCTGAATGAAAAGGGGAGCCTTTGGAAGGTTTCAAGCAGAGAAGTGCCAAGATCTGACTTAGGTTTGAGAGCTCATTCTGGCTGTCACACTAACAGTAGATTTTATGGGGCAAGGGTAAAAGCTGAGAAAGTAGTTAAGAGGCTATTGCAGTAATCTTCCCTGGTGGCTCAGATGGTAAAGAATCCGCCTGCAATGCAGGAGAAGTGGGTTCAATCCCTGGGTCAGGAAGATTCCCTGGAGAAGGGCATGGCAACCCACTCCAGTATTCTTGCCTGGTGAATCCCATGGACAGAGGAGCCTGGTGGGCTACAGTCCACGGGATCCCAAAGAGTTGGACATGACTGAGTGACTAATACTTTCCCTAGAGATGATTGTGGCTGCTACCAGGTGGTAGCCCTGGAAGTGGAGGGTAAGGTTGCATTCTGGATATATTTTGAAGGCAGAGCCAAAAGAATTTCCTGACAGAATGAATGTAGGGCCTCATGGGGTTAAACATGACTCCAGGTGTTTGGGGAGTTGCCATCCTCCCTTATGGGGAAGGCTACAGGAATAGTGTTCTTGATGAGGAAGACAAGAAATTCAGCTTGGATGTGTTAGATCTGAGATGTCTGCTTAACATCCAGGAGATGTGCAATTTTCTCACTTCAAGGTAGCACAATATATTTTATTCAGCATTTTACTTATTTTAAGAGGGACAGTCATTCCGCCATAATACCAGAAATGAAGTGTTCCTCTGACTTCTGTCCCTCATATAATCCTAACGTTCCCTTTTACTAACTACTGGTGCTGTGCTCCAAACCTTCTCCAGTCTCCAACATCCTTATTAAGATGTGAAGAACAAAATTGGAGTCAGTAGTCCAATAAATTTAACTAAGACAGCAAGATGACTCTTGGGAGTTTCTAAACAGGATGTCTTTAGAATACAGACACTGTTTAAAATAAATAATCCCAAGCGAAGCAGTAAAAAGAATGAGACGTTTCATAGAATCTTTCTTTACAAAGTGGAAGCAATGGAAAGGAGATGCCCCAGCTTCAGCAGGAAGACAGTAGAACTATAACACCATATTCTGCTATGCTGCCCCTCAGTCTTTAGGATCTTGGTTTGGATCTCATCACTCTGGGAAAGATTGAAGGCAGGAGGAGAAGGGGATGACAGAGGATGAGATGGTTGGATGGCATCACTGACTCAATAGGGACATAAGTTTGAGCAAGCTCTGGGAGATGGTGAAGGACAGGGAAGCCTAGTGTGCTGCAGTCCATGGGGTTGCAAAGAGTCGGACACGACTGAGTGACTGAACAACAACTCAGCCTTTGAAGAAGCCATAAACACATAACCATATTAGGAAAACTAATACACCATCCCTGTGGTAGCCTTGCAGGCATTTCAACTTCATTCATCTGGTCCTGAAGAATTATGGGGGAATCACGCTAGCACAAACTGGGAAGTTTTGAATGAATAGAAGATGTATCTGAACTACTGCCAAAGGACAATATCAAATTTGATATTTCAGTAGTTAAAGATCCAGAGTAATTTTTATGGCATCTCCTCCCCACACTCTAATCAATTATGCTAGTAGAAACAACTGTAACAATATTCAATTCAGTTTCTGATTAGATACCATTTCTATGCCTGCTTTGTAAAGCCCTTTTTACCCCTTCTATTCATTTGAATTCATTGAAATCTTACAGATGTCAAGTCCTAGTTTCTCAGCATTTCAGAGTTAATTTCTCACATTCCAAAAGGGAATTTTAAAATCATACTCAATACACAATAGTTCCTGTATGCCACTGATATATATATATATATAAATGATGCAGAATGAAAAAGCAGCCTGGGGCAATAACATAGATGGGACTAAGCACATTGAGATTCTCATTTCCCTTGCCCAAAGAAACTTGTTCCAGACTCAAAGACATAGAAAACAAACTGGTATTTACTAGAGGGGAGAGAGAAGGGAGGAGGGGCAAGTTAGTGGCATAGGAATAAGAGATACAAAGTACTACGTATAAAATAGATAAGGAACAAGGATATATTTGTGGAGCACAAGGAATTACAGCCATTATCTTATATTAACTTTTAATGGAGTATAATCTGTAAAAATACTGAATCACTATGCTATAACCTAAAACAATATATTATTATAAATCAACAATGTGTGTGTTAGTCGCTCAGTCATGACTGACTCTTTGCAACCCCATGGACTGTAGCCCGCCAGGCTCCTCTGATGATGGAATTCTCCAGGCAAGAATCCTGGAGTGGGTAGCCATTCCCTTCTCCAGGGGATCTTCTTGACCCAGGGATCGACCCCAGGTCTCCCACATTGCAGGGGGATTCTTTATCATCTGAGCCACCAGGGAAACTATACTTCAATTAAAAACAAAAACAAAAGTAAGTTCTGCCAAAAGAGAACTGAAAAATCCACAACATGACTGATGCTCCTATTTAATAACCAAAAGGTTTTAGAGATATGAAAAGTAGGGCAAAGGGACAATTTAATACCTATCTCCAAAATGAAGGAATATTCTTCAGAAAATGACAGATGAATCATATCTATTAAGGTGGTACAGGCAGAATATGCAATCCTTCTTTTGCACTACAACACACTACCTTCGATTAGAACCTGAAGTTGGAGGGAGCTTCAAGCCCATTTATATCTCACTGCCCAGATGAGAAAACTGAGATGTGAAGTGCTAATAGTACTTACCCAAGGTAAGACAGGGTGTCAGGCCAGTACAAGGGTCAGAGCCCCAGTCTCCTCACTCCCAGACCAATAGCCGCCTTCTGAGGAGGAACTCAAATGCTTCAAACGCAGTTTATGTAGATTCACATTCATTTAAAGCAAGCGAGCCTACAGCAAAGAGCAGCACTTCTGTAGGGTCCCCTAAGGATCTTGTCAGAATGCAGAGTCAGCAGGCTAGGACAAGGCCTGATACTCTGCATGTCTATCGAGCTCCAGGGTGATTCCCAGACAGGTGGCTCACAGTATACATTGAGTAGCAAGGCTGTAGGGTACTCTTAGAGCTGAGCAAAGTAAAAATAGGCCTATGATACATCCTTGTACGTCTGAAAAGGCAGAAAGTGATGGACAGAAGGGGAGTTTGGCTTGGTGTGACTGAAAAGAGTTGGTACAATATCCTTGTTTAGATGTTGGTTGACTATTTTATACCCATGTATGTTCCTTTTCCCATGCCTGCTTCTATTATGCAGCCTGGAAATGTTAAATACTTGCTTTCCCAGGCTCCCTGGCAGCTGTGTGCCCCAAATCTAGCCAATGAGACTAAAGCAAATGTCTCACGGGGTCTTCTGGAAAAAGAAAGGCTTTGTTGCAGATAAGACTTGGGCCGCCTCTTCACCGCCCTTTCCTGCCTTGAGTGAGGGCCTGATGCTGCGAGATGCTAAAGCCATCTGGTTACCACTAGGCAAGAAGCCAACAGGAAAAGAATGGCTGGGCAGAAGGACAGAGAGATCCTAAAGATTTGCTGACAGAGCTGAACCCCTGCACCAGCCTGGACTACCAACCACCAGACTTCTTCTTATATAAAAGGACTGAATGTTTGGATTGCTTAAATCATCATTATTATCACTGCATAAGCCATTCTATTATAAGTCTGACACATCTTCTAATTAGATGCTTCCTCTCCTTCCAGTCACTTCAAGAGTCTGGTTTTGTCCCTGTTGCCAATCCACAGCCTTTAATGCTCGATTTGTGTGCTCTAGCAAAGGGGCTCATTAATGACCTTCTAAAAGCCAAATACAAGGGCCTCTTAACAGCCTTCACCCTGTGTCAAATGCCCCTGGCATTTGATTCTATTTATCATCCCATCCTCTTTACTTATTTTCATGGCACTGCCCCAATCTGGTCTTCCTCCTCTGCCTCTACTGCTCCTCTCTGGCTTCTCTGCCTCTGCCCCCCTGCTCAAATCTTCATGTTCCTCAACTTCCATCTTTGTCTTTATTTCTTCCTTCCCTGTATCCTTTCATCAGATCTCACAGATCCAACAACCTGCAACCATTTCTTTAAATAGTTGTAAACACCAATTAGCTTGCATTTTCCCCAAAGTGGTGATGTAAGCCTAAGTATTAAAAGGCTGTGATGTAGCAAGAACTGGGATTCCTTCTCATGTCTCACTGACTCCACCTGAGCAAACAGTGCCTCTCTCAGCAGTGCACCTCTTGGAGAACAAGGGTTAAGGAAAAAGTTGCACAGAAACACGTTTCATTTGCCTCTGCTTTCTGTGGTCACACTTCTTTTAAGTTGTGTGTCCTTGGAAAATAAATAAGGAATCTATATCATGTGTGTGTGTGTGTGTGTGTGTGTGTGTGTGTGTGTGTGTGTGTGTGTATGTGGTGAAGGTATAGTCACTTCAAGTCCAGCTAAACCTTACCTCACCTGAGATACTATATCCTCTATTTAGGTCTCTGGTATGGAGATGATGATGCTGTATTGAAATTATTTGTCCAGGTTTGTTTTCTTCACTAGAATGCAAGCTACTGAAGGTCAGAGGCTGACACTCTTTGGTGGGTGTTTGTTGAAAAGAACAGATACTTATTTAATAAAGTAGTCTAGGACTATGGTGGATCAATGGCTTAACTGCATACACTCTTGAGATTCCCCCCAGCTCTGGAACTTCCAATGACCCCATTCTAGTTTGTGTGAGGTTTTGTATTTATGTAGGTATCAAAATCATTTACCCTCACTGTGTATGTTCTTCCTCCAACTCTCTCCCGGGCTTCTAAAACCAAAACATTAACTTCATGTTCGGCTAAGAGTTTGGCAGCAGATAATCCTAGAAGGGGGAAGAAAAAAATTCGAAGAACATATTAACATCTAAATGTGAAACATTGAAGAGTTAAGCAGGTCTACATATAATATAAATGCAGAATATCATATGCAATTCATTGATTGTCCTGTCTGTCTAATAAATTTTGTGATTCTATCTAATCACCTCACTGTGATTACTGAGCCCAAAATTTTATAATCTAGCATATATTATATTATGTATCATAATTTAATTGTATTATCTATCATAAGGTTGGTTAAAAATGTAATAATTTAAAATATATATATATATTTGGGGGTTTGGTGATAATCAAATCATATGCAAAAGAATCTGTCGAACTCCTCAATCAACCCTTATCATGCCACTCTTCTAGAAATCCTGACTGTATAAACAGAAGTGTTTTCCTGGAAACTCGCCCTACCTTACACCAGCCCACAGCATCTCTGTGCTTTACTCAATTTAAATCCCCCTATAATGACCTCTGATTATCTATATCTGGATTACATGCTAGCTAGATCTTGTTTTCCCAACTCGATTAAAAATTACCAAAGGCAGGAACAACGTTTCATACTTTATTTGCTCAAAGTTGAGTACAGGCTTTCACTCATAAATAAAAATTTTCATAAAAAGTATATTTTTAAATACAGTATAGTAAGGGAATTCTCTGGTGGTCCAGTTGTTAGGACTCATTGCTTGCACTGCCATGGCCCAGGTTCAATCCCTTGTTGGGGAACTAAGATTCCACAAGCCAAGTCAAATCAAACAAAATGAAAGAAACAACAACAACAACAACAAAAACAGTGTAGTTAATACCAGAAAAGTAGAAGCAAATGTTGTAGATTAACATTATATCAATGGTGCATGCTATGAACATGACTTATCACTGACGTTAATCTTGATCACCGAGGCTGAGGTAGTGTTTGGCCAGGTTTCTCCACTGTAAAGCTATTCTTTTTCTCCCCTTCCATGCTATACTCTTTGGAAGGAAGTCTATGTAAAGTCTGCACTTTAGAAGTAGAGAGTTATGTCCTACTTCCTCAAGGGTGGAGTGCTTAGTTGCTCATCCGTGTCTGACTCTTTGTGATCCCATGGACTGTAGCCCATCAGGCTCTTCTGTCCATGGGGATTCTCCAGGCAAGAATACTGGAGTGGGTTGCCATGCCCTTCTCTGAAGGTGGAGTACTGACATAAATTATTTGAAATTCATCTGCACAGGAGATTTGTCTCTTCTACCCCACTTATTTATTTATTTAACCATTTACTTAAATCCTTATGGATTCATAGACAGTTGTTTTATACTTTTGGTTATAATCCAACATTATGTTACTTCTTTTGTTGCTCAAATTGTTTCAGCTTTGGCCACTTAGCATTTTGTGTGAATGTATGTATTTAAGGACTTCGTTACTTTCTGGTATTACAAGATGTACCAGGCTTGTCTTTCTCTGCCCAGCCCTACAATCAGCTATTTATCCAGTGAGCACTGGTTCCTTTTATTAGAGAACAGTTTCAGAAACCAAGATCTGGGCTCTAAGCATGCCCATTGATACTAGAGAATCATGTTTCTAAGACCTCTCAGCTCACAGAGTAAGGAACAAAGGGCATGTATACACATTTTTAAATCTACCTTTTTTGTACTTCAATTTCTCTTATACCTAGTTATCTTTATACTCCTCTATTATAAAAAAAACATGAAGCAGACTACATAGATAAATATACTCAAGGAGAAAAAAATGTCAGAATATCAGGGTGAAAGAGAAATAAGAATGACACCAGAGATAAGATTAGTAAAATGATACCTAAATATGTGTACAAGTGGTTAAGAAGAGGAACTGTTCTTAGTGATTTTTAAAGCCCAGTAATGTGATAGCTCATTTCTAATGGTATATATCCGAAAAACAGAAAAGAACTGCAAACATTTTAATCAGTAATCATTTTGTGGGTGCTAGGTTTAGAATTGTTATTTTGAGGCCATTATGTATGTAATGTGAAACAAAGCAAATGAGTAATCAGGCTGCTATCACTGTGATCCAGGATTTGGGGCCTAGAAATAAGGAAATTCAGATGTAAGAACAATGAGACTAAGTAGAAATCTGGGGCAAGAAATGTACAAGATGGGTCTGGAACATCAAATCATAACAGAGAGCAAGGAGGCTAACAGAGACCACTAGGATCGTGACAAAACAGCTCAGAAATCTATCTATAAGAGTTCCCACTGGCCAAAGATGGAACAGTTTGAGTATCAAATAAAAACAACTGCAGGGAGTTCCCTGGTGGCCTAGTGGTTAGGACTCTGGGCTTTCACTGCAGTGCCCCAGGTTTAATCCCTTGTTGGGTAACTGAGATCCTAGCAAGCTGTGCAACATGGCCAAAACAACAACAACCCCCAGCTGGAATGGCTTAAATTCACTCATAATAATAATAAATAAATAAAAACTCTCATTGGTCACCTTTGGAAAACACTAAGGAGTTAACTTATTAAAAAAAAAAGAGAATTTGGCATTCATCCTATCTTCCCTATTTGCACTGAACCTCAAAGTAACCAGGTAGCTAACGAAGGGAGATTTCACTGTATAAAAGTATACTAGTTAACAAGTGAAGACAGAAATAATTAGAATATCAGCATTTTACAACCTTTAAGGAATTAATAGATATAATGCAATGATTGTCAACAGATGCTAACATGACACACACAAGAGACACATAACCAGACACTACCAGTCTCTTAAAGGAAGTGCATACCACCATGTATGAAGTAATTAGGAAGAAAGGAAGGAAGGAAGGAAGGGGAGAAAGGGAAAGAGCAACTAAACTAAATTCTAACATGATCTAGCCTCTAGATATGACACTTGGGGCCAGAAGAACATGTTAAATAATATTACTGGGATGCAATCAACAAAATCTAGACTGTAGGAAATTATACAGGAGTACCTGGTTTCTTTCATTTTTTTAAAAACAACTTGCCTGCTCCTGCTCTCTCTCCCCCTTTATCCTTCACCAGCTTTTCCTATAATAAACTTTTAAACATGGCTAGTTCTGTTTTGATGTCTGCTCTCAGAGGACCCAGACTGACATGGTATTTTGTTGATACAGAGAATGGTATAAAGTATACATACCCAGAATCAAGAATGAGTTTGGGTCTATAAGATCTAAAATGGAGGAAGGTTAAACCATAATATCCAGTGCTGCTCTCTGCTAATGTTTGTATGCACCTTTGACTCCTTCAAAGTACAGTGTACCCTTGCATTACTGACATCCATCCAAGATTTAGGTATGCAACAAATATTTGGAATCTGCTCACAAAAAAGGTATCCTGTGACAGTTTAAATAAATGTGAGCCAATGTCTGCAAACTTTGGTGCAATGTGTTTTCTGGGACAGAGCCAAAGGCCTCTTCTGCTGACCATCATAAGAAAAGAAAAAGGATGAAGGTGTGATGAAAAACATATTTACGCATAAATCTTTGTTATGTTTATTTCTGTAGGATTGCGTCCTAGTAAGGGAGATTACTAGGTCAAAAGATATGAACATTTTTTAGGCTCAAAGCACTGCGCTATATTGAAAAGCAGAGAAACTCAGATGCAAAAAGTTTAACTTCTTCCCAGCTCCCCTTAATCAATCTAACCATAAGCCAATTAGATTGATTAAAACACCCTTGGGTTTGCTAGAATTACTTGATTAGCTCCTCTTCTAAGGGAGGAGGAACTTGCCCTCTGCATGCTGCCTAAGGAGAAGCAGAGGTGGCTCTGAATTCCAGCAGCTGTTGCGACCTGTAGCAATCATGCCCCCAGAGGCAGCCTGACAGTTGGTTTAGTGCTTCACATCCTACAGAGCAATTTCAGGTGCCTTCCCTGTTGCCTCTGTCTTTCTTCAGAATAGTTTTATTACCCCCATATTCCCGATAAGGAAACCAAGTGCCTGATATGTCCACAACAAAGTCTCCTAAAAAGTGAAAAATTTTATTTCTTACACACTAATTTACAAAGCTGGAGCCTCAATAAAGTAGAATCTTATGTGTAATTCTAAACAAGCTTGATGAGTGGGGTCCAGTGACAGTAGTAAATGAACACAACTCCAGAGGCTAAAGGAGGTGGAGGAAGCAGGGTAGCTGAGCCAGGACAAATGAGCACACCAGTAACAAAGGTCATTTTGCACTTTGGCATTTAAGGATATAAACAAAATTTAAAAGCTTGGGGGTGGGGGGAAGGTTTCTACATTACAGGAAAATGATTGGCCCTATCTCAGCAAGGGCCAAAAAAGTTTGAGCTCTTAGTTTGAGAAATAAGTAACATGTTTAAAACCTTTCAAAGGGATTCCAGAAAAAATGGTTTTCAAAAGATCTGTTAGGGAAATTAAAATGGAAGCAGTCTTGTTCAGGCTTCAGAAGTAGGGGAGCAGGCCTCTGACCAACTTTTGATCCTTCTTGGACTACATGTCTGCCTATAAGCACACCAATTGTTATCAGCAAGTCAAGTGGCACTTTATAGATAAGAAAGAGTAGGTCTTAGAATTCCTTAAGCCCCTGGGAACCTAGCCAGGCCCCCAGGATTTAAGGAATCTTATGACTCACAAGATGAAACAAACAGCATTGTAAAAGTTAAAAAAAAAAACAGAGCTGCATTTTTGCATGCAAACTGATGATAATACCAGTTTGTGGCCTAGGGTTATAAGCAGGACCCCCAAAGCTGCAATCTAAAGTCTCGCCAGTGGGATGGAGGCACCAGCAGAGACCCTTTACCCAACTGGGACTCCAGATTGCTGTTACTTGGAGCTCCCCAGTGCTGTTCAAGTCTAGAGGCAGGTTTCAGCCCAATTTGGTGATGTATACACTGTTATTTCTCTCTATTGTTTCTATACCTTTCCTTTAAATGACAGCATATTGAAATTAAGTTAAATAAACTTCTATTAAAAATTGAAATTCTTTTTTTTGTTGCTTTGTTTTAAATTTTTTTAATCTTTTAATTTTTTTTTCCATTTATTTTTATTAGTTGGAGGCTAATTACTTTACAA